ACTTTTCAGCTTTGTATTTGCCCCACGTTACTCCACTCTATTCTACTTCATCCCGCCTTGACATCAGTCTTTTTCCCTTCCGGTCCGCCTGCCTGTCTGTTGATGTAACCGACTTTTGTAGTTATCTTGTCATCAGAAAATGCAGCAACTAGTTTAATAGCACTACAGCAATAACAAATGTAATGCATTTGAGTGAAATAAATATTATACGGGCAAGCAACAACAAGTGACACGTATAACGATAAAAGGGAAGGTGTACGTACCTTAGCACTACGGGGATTAATAATTACCAGAGCTAATAACATTGTACAACTTTGCTAAAGTGCGAAAAGCAATGAATATAAAATTAACATACTTACGTACACATAAGGATATTAATATTGAACGTTAAGTGTGTGTGGTTTGCACTTTTATGTGGAACATTTCTTTCTAGACGGATAATTAAGAATCTCTCTCGTTAATGGGTTATATAGTTTTTTGAGTTTGAAAAAATAATTTTTTTTTTATTGTCTTATTAAATTCTACAACATCTCTGGGATACTATGCTAAATTCAATTATGATCCGAATGAAAGTTTCGGAGATAGAGCCTTGATAACTTGTGCGCTTGAGGCTAGCTACGCTAAGTGCGCCGTCTTCAAGCGAGTTTTTATCGAAACTGTGTTTTTGAAGTCGGTTTGCAAAACTTCTCGAGAACTGCTCAACCGATCTTCAAAAAATTCTACACAGGTCTTTGAGATACAATTTTTAAAAACTTGGACGAAGGAAATTTTCACTGAAATTTAAATTTTTTTTGTAAAAATGTCTGCCAAAAATCCAGTTTCCTGTTTTTTTCCTTTCGTCCAAGTTCGAAGTTAAGATTTTAACTAAAACACGTATTTCTCACAGCATCATCTGTAACGCGGACGCATCTTTTTTCCGAGGGGTCACGGGAAACGGCGTCGCAATAGACGAGTTTAAAATTTWTTTTTTTTTTAAATTTTAGAATTTCTATGTTAATAGTGTATGTTTGTAACAATAAAAAATTTTAATAAAATTTGTTTTTTTTATATGAGAAAAAATTTTTGAAAAAAGCCCAAGTAATCCCTTAATCTAATGATACATACTTATATCGAATACATTGGTTTGGCTATCAAGATTCCTTTCTTGTGTTTCCTATGTCTAAGAGATATATATTTCTCAATATTCTAGTTTCTTGCTACCCCTAATAATTTACTAAAAGTAGCTTTATTCTGTCTGATAAACTTTGAATCGGACTGTGCCATTGATAATTTCATAGCTTGGAAAGCCCTTTTAACCAAAATTTTTACTTTTTTTTACGAAAAAAACAGAATTTGGTGAACACATTGAAGGCCATTCCAACCGAGATTTATAAGAAGTTTATGGGAAATTGGATTAAATCAAAATATTCGAAAAAGTAAAGAAATCGACATTTATTTCTGACAAGTTCTCAATCTATATATTTTTGTTTTCCATAGATTCAACTGGAATTTCCCTTAAAATTATTAAATATTCCTCTTTATTTTAAATCAGCTGCAATGATATCTCAGTGAAGGAAGTATTTGTGCGTAGAGCTAATTTGCCCAAAGTATTTTAAGCTATTTAATGGAGTCAAACTGGCGTCCACTTTTATAAATCCTCAATCGTGATTTAATCCGGACTTATGGCCGGCAATTTTAACGGTGGTATATTACTAGAGCGTAAAAATTATTTAGTGCCACGTGAAATGTAGATTGGTGCATCACCCTTCTGAAAAATCCACTCTTCTCCATAAATGTCATCCGCCAAGTAGTTTAAATTACCTTCCAGCAGTTGGATACAAACATAAGAATTTGTTTTCGTCGAAAGCAGTATTGAAATTTCTTCGTCCACTATAAATTCACTTATGTCGAGTTTCTCGTTAATACCTTAAATCACACAGCCACAAGTCCATTTAAGTTTAATTATTTCGTAGGAAAATTATTACATTCTTTTCTCTAAAATGTATATTTTTCCGGCAAAGACCAATCGAGCAACGGTGGCATTGTAGTTGCTTCCATACTCCATTCTTCTTAAAAAAAACATTTATTTGCCTTTGATATTCACTTCTTCAACTTTGGTTTTTTTTAAACAATAATTTAACCTAAATTTTAACAAGTTAACGGAACCTTTTCAGTCCAATCTCGTTTATTTACATACTTATTTCTAATGGCAAAACTCGGAAAACGGGACTAAAAGGGGCGAATAAAGAACAGTATTGCTTAAGCATTCAAAAAATAGATGTTAAACGAAGACAATCGTATACCAACAATATAATATTTTTATTATAAATAAAGGAATAATTCAATAATAACAAAATAACAGAACAGAACAGAACAGGGTATATGTGTCTCTTCACTAGACTATGTTACAACATTTCATAAAAAACATCCGAAGCAGAGAAAATCAGTTTTTATGTATTATGATTACATACAGCTGTGGAAGAATGCTTATGTTCCATGTAAAAATATATAAAAGAAAGTTCACATAAATAAAATAATAAATTTTAAGCGCAGCAAGCAGACCCTACAAACAAAAAAGTCAACAGACTTTCTGAGCATAAAACGCAAGGTGTAATACTAGTACTTAACTGTAGAATGCACTTGCCAGACAGCCAGCTCTACAGGTTTGCACATGTAAACTTTTTGCTTTCTTTGTCAGTGGTAGTGTGTATGTATAAAGGTGTATTTGCCGGTTTGTTGTAGGCGTTAAGTTTAAATTAACTCGCTCGCGTACGCCACACCGGTTCAAGGATCAACTTTTGCGCGCAAAGCCACTTATTCAGCCAACAGCAGACGATGTCACAACTAAGTCAAGTTGTGGTGAAGTTAGTTCGCTCTTCTACACGCGAGATCAAATACTGAATACACACACGTTTAAAATACTAGGTATATACATATGTATAATAAACGACTTGCTAAAGTCGTCATAAATTAATAGCGACTTAAAGTTTTGATAGTAATGAATTAAAGTAAACGTTTGCTTAGTGGTCTAGTACTGAAGAACAAGGAGTTTTCTTTGAACGCCTAAAATTATATTACGATTTTAGAGTATTCCATCACTGAAACGAAAAAGATACTCAAAACAAGCATGTCATAATATAGGAAAATCGTTAAAATTTCCACACACCAGTAAAGTCTCAATGAAATTGCATTGACAGTGTTTGAAGAAAATGTACGCAGAAAATTAACCAATATTACTTATACACATACTTATGTACATACAAACTTAGAGGCACACAAGCATGTAGCAAGAGATTTCTCTTTTGCAATTCAAATTGTCAGCTGGGCAGTGGCATTTACAACAACAAACGTTGGTATCTACGCTCCCAGAAAATATGAATCGTTTGAATGTGTACGTTTCTCTCTGAAGTAGTAAAGATTATAGCTTTGTGCGAGCTCAAGTTCAAAATATTAGAACAGAAATTTTGAATCTGGTATTTTAGATACTTTTTTTCCAATCCGGTATTTGCATTTAAAAATTTTGTTTATATTCAGATAATGGCAATTAGAAATTTTAAAATTATTTTTAATACACTAAATAAAAAA